TTTTAAAATGTCCGGTACTAATTGCAACTGTTTAAAATCTTTTTTTTTTGATACCAATGTTTGATTGATAATATTAATTATTTTTTAGCAGAGATTGCGGTTTTGTTAATTTAGTTTGATTTCTAACTTTGTTATCTAACTTAAATCATAATTTAATAAACATTTCGTAAAATATTGTTTGATTTATTTATAAATAACCTTAGGTGTCCGCCACTAGGGGACCTCCCCCTATACAATTCTCTTGTTTCAAAGTTTTATTTCAACTAACTCCAGTTGTAATTATTTTACAAAAATCAAAATAACTATTATTTTACAATAATCACAATAACTATTTTAACAGTTTAGTATACTAAACGTTGATTATAATCACAAAAATTGTTACACATTATCAAAGATTGATAAATTCGAAGCAAAATAAGACAAATAATATTTAATATTAGTCGATAATAATAACGCAATAACGAAATTTTATGATAGATCAATATCGTATTACCTGACAAAAATAACGGACCTGCACAGTTCTGTTCATTAATGATATCATGACAATTAATTATATGTTAAAAATATTAGAAAAAAAATTTAATATCGTTTGAGATCCTATTGAAAAATGCTTTTCACTACTTACCCCTGTTACAATAAGCCTAGGAGCCCTTATATCTGATTTTAGCAATTCAAGTAAATTGTTTCGTAAAAATATTATAATGAGCGAACACGCAAAGTTTAACTTTGTTTAATAAATAACAATCAAGGTGTTTATTGTGGTTAATATTATAGATTCTTGTTCGATCGTTTAGAGCGTTCCAAGAATCGGGAAGCACTTTCACATAGATGGCTTTGAAAATATAATAAATTGTCTAAAGATTACTATATTAAACAAAAACATATTTTTTCTCTGTCCATCAAGTTCATATCAGTGCGCAATATCGCACTTGGAAAGATCAAGTATATGGCTCTACATTTGTGTTCGCATAACAATATGAAAAGTTAAAATCATTTTATCTGAGCATGTAATGGACTGTAACATAAAAATTGTAATCTTGCCGTTGTTTTTTACGTTTTCTTATTCTTCATGTCGTTGTGATAGTTATTAAAACTTCATCATCGAAAGTAAGACGAAGGTCAAACGACCTCAGACAATTTACAAGCGCCCAGCTCTACTTTTTGTTTGTTTTTGATGGAAAAGTTGCAATTGCATTCGTGATAAAATCAAAATTACATAATTTTATTATTTCAGTTCTATGCAATTTAGGCTCTATTTTATAGAATAACTTTAATGTTTCTTAGAAATACGACAGTTTAATAGGACATAACAATTTGCATAATCAGATTTTTTTCAGAAAATTTGACTAGAATCAGTAATTGTGTAATGAGATGATATTATGAAATGTGTCTTACCTACTATTATATTACATTTTGGCTTAAAAATATTTTTTTCATATTAGTTATCGTGAATCAAAATATTTAAGTTCCAGAAAAGCGCAATACGTATGAAGTTTACTGAAAAAGTAAAGTGTAATGTAGACTCTTATATTAATAGCATAATTTTCTACATATTCTATGCATTTTTCATATGGTTTTAATAAAAGCAATAACCCTGTTTCACATATAACTCAACTTATAAACATTTGCTCAATTTTTTAATAGAATCTTAAATGATATTAAAATATTCTTTTGTCTCCATTGGACATGTAAAGCGTCTATATATATTGTCATAGATATTGTCTATGCAATAAACAGAACTGCGCAGGTGCGTCACTTCTGAAAATTTGTATCAAAGTTTTGGTTTGCGTAATCATGATCGACTAATTTAAAATTTTACATATTTCTGTGAAAAAAAATCTGGTTGTATGCATTATTCTAATCGTAAAGTGACCAAACGTCCCGGTTTGGCCGAGACAGTTCCTGAATCCACCTTGTGTCTCGGGTTTTTCTAAAAGCAGTGTTTGTCCCAAATTTAGATCTATTGTCCCGGATTGTTCCGAGTTTTCGAAAACTATAGAACTGAATTGAAACTTTGCTCTAACTTGATGATAAAATTACAACTACGCTAATTTCAAATGTCTGAAAATATTATGTATAACTAGTATGCTTATATGAAAAAGGCGGGTTAAAATAGTCTGCAATTCGTAACTTAGATTTTCAATTTTATAAAAATTAACAAAAATTAGGAAAATGAACTTTTTGGTTGCCCGGAACAAGCGCTAATTTTTAAATAATTATGAAGAAAATTGAATAAAATTTCATAATAAGTTTAAACGCTGAGAAAAACATAAAGATCCCAAAATATAATATAAAATAAAACATAGAATCGATAAATGATAAGAAGTTTTATCATTCTTGTTCAAAAAATAATTTGTCAGTTAAAAATACAAATTTTTATTGAATTCTTAAATATTATTTATTATTTTAAAATCATAATATTATTTTCGTCCCGGAATAGCATAACAAAAATTACCGTCCCGGTTTTGGCTTAAAATGATTTGGTCACATTAATTATACTTGATTGTAAATCAGATATCGAAACAGATTTCTTGATAAGATACGACGTCAAACAATGACTTTTAAAGAGCTTCTCCACGATTTCACAATAAAACATAATTACTCGCAGCAAAAAATAATTTTTATTGTGTATTGCGGACATAAAAACAATTTATTGATACTAAAGGTCATGGTAGGTTCATTTTTCTTAAGTTGCTTGCAAAAAACAAGTTTTGCAGGGCCTTACCATTTACGAGTCGAGGGCAAACTAATTTAAGGTACTACACATTTTCAGAGATTGATGTTCTTAAATTTCTTCATGATGCTGCACTGTAGTATTCAAGAATAGTAGATCTAAAATCATTTTCTTACTTTTAATTCATTTATTTGATTTATTTAAGACCAATTTTTAAAAAAACACTGTACTAAAATCCGTATGTTTTTTTTTGCTTTTAACCTTTTCCATGAGCGTAATAGTATTATGCATGGTATATTATATAGGTATTACATACTTCTTATAATTTATAACTTGACTCGTAATTTTTTCAAATTTCACCATAACAAAAAATTATCTGAAACATTTATCATTATTCACTGTCATATCATTGTTAATGGCTTTATACTATGTTTAAATTAATAATTAAATTTAATTAATAATAACGGAAATTATAAGCTTAATTGAGAGATATCAATTGTAAATTGCATAGATTGGTTTTAAGTGAAAGCGAAATAAAAATTCGAAAATTTACCTAAATACATAGCTGAATCTAAATTTTTATTAATAAAGTTCATAAACTTTGCCATAAGCCGATAATAATAATAAAATGTCACTAACACCCAGTTCATAATATAAATCATAGTAACAAACTATATAAATATAAGTAGCTGAATTAATAAAGTTTATAAAAGCTTGTGTAAAAGTTATTAAGATTAACAACACTAAGAGGTAAATATTAGGCATATAAGTTAATAATATTCGGATTTTTAATGTTGGTCAATTTCATGCTTCAATATCAGCTTTACTATTTTTACATATACTTTATCTCTATATTAACGGGGCTTATTTTCTACGTGGTCATCAATATGATAAGATTTCTTGAATCAATATTTCAATTCTTAAAATAATAGTCTTATAGAATAATAAGCTACCCTAAAAATTCTTCTGGAATGATCTGATTGTGAGATAATCTTCTTATGAGTTCTGATTAATCATCTATACACTAGCATGATATACATATTATATATATATAAATATATATATATATATATATATATATATATAATATATATATATATATATATATACTTGCAATAAGTATATATATATACTTGCAATAAATTTTTCTGTGTGTATTTATAGGTAGGCAGTTATGTTTGAGCTAAAAATATTTTAAATATGACAAAAATATAAAATGTACGTCAAAATTTTTATAATAATTTTTTTTCAGAAAATGCTGAATTTGGTTAATTTTGATTTTATAATCAATAAAAAATTACATGCTGGTAATATTTTAATGAAAAACGGTCAGAAAAAAAAAATTTGAAAAAAAAATCCAAAAGCAATTGTTTTGTCAACACAAGCAGAAAGTTTTTTTAATCATCCAAATCGGATGCTCAGTTTTCTCAAAAACTGCCATTTTTTGTACATTCAGTTCTGTATCTACAAAATTGCTGGACCTGCCTTTTTCACAAACTAATTACCCCTCCTTTCAATCATTACAAATTGAATGTTTTTTGGATCATTCAAATCGGATATTCGGTTCTCTCAAAAACTCGACTTCTATTTTTTGCACTCTTTGCTCCGTAACTCCGTAACGGCTAGATCTGCCTTTGCCAAAAACTAATCAGCACATTTCTCTATACTGTCAATAGAATTCGAATATTTTTTGAACCATTCAAATCGGTTGATTCGTGCGCCCTAAAACGTAGACGAAAAATTGCGGAAACACAAAACACACACACATATCCATTTTTTCTGAGGTATGCCAAATTGTTCAGAAACCTCTGAAACGTAAATATATTTTCAAAAATTTTCATTTTCGATTTTTGGCCCATCACTATAACTTACCTTAAGGAAAGTTAATAGATATATTTGAAGATTGCTTGAAACTTATGAACGTTCATAAGTTTCTAGTTATGACATCACAAAATGTCAGCTTTATGTTTATAATTACAATATTACAATTGTGTTTTGCTTATTTTAATCCATTACAATTAAAACAAATTTACAACCGAAGATGACAAAATAGTAAAGAATATTAAAGACTGTTGTTGATGTTAATGATAAAGTTCAATTACCAAAATCATAGACTTCTCTCTCTGACTTTAAAATATTTCTTTATTTAAGCATACATTTATTTTGCAAAATAGCTTATAAGATCAAACTGTGTATTGATTGTTATCTACGAAAATAAAAATTAAAATTAAGTTCAAATAACAAATTTAACTTATCCTACTTTTTATTGGCTATTTGATGTTTTATCAAAAAGCCTAGTCACTTTTCTTCTCTGCTATTATATGTTTTATCCATGATTTCTTCTTGGTATAACACTGATTCGAGCTTGAACACACATTACACGCCTCTTTTCGTAAAATAATATAACATTTACCAAAACAAATGTAGTTTTGGTACTGATCATAGGCATATAATTTGCGATATCCGAGTATACTGGACTATCTTTTATTCGGTAAGTGCCTGCGTAAACTGGACATTTTATACGTGGGTTTACCTATTCAAAAAATATTAATATTATACACAAAGGTATTTATAACCAAATTACAAGTCTATATAAATGTGTTATAATTATAAAATTAATTAAAATATACTAAGCTAAAACTCGTATCTTCGTAATAAAGGTCGTATGTCTTTAGACAGGTCATTAATTTTCACGTTACGTTCATGTAACTTGCATAAATCTTTTCACTTATTTTATGTATATATATTAGAATGGTCCAAGGGCTCAAATGGTTCCAAATTGATGAAAAACAATTCTCTGAAGTTTTAGCTCTTAATATTAACTCTCAGATAGTGCGCAATTCAATCAAACTTCGTATGGAAATAGCATGGAAAAAAATTTGAAAATTAAAAAAAAAATTTTTTAGGTATGACTTAGCGACAAATGAATGAAAATTTGTGTCATTTTTTATTGAAAATTCGACTCTCCGCTAAACTTTTAAACCAGCCACTCTCTTGATTCTTACGACGTCTCTATCTGGAGATACACGGCAATGTTTGAAAATCCATAACAAAAGTATTTATATACGGTGCAATATTTATAAAAAAGTACCCATGAAATTTATATTTTGCATTAGTTAAATATTTTTTAATAAATCAATAATGTACCTACTATTTCAAAAAATCCCCTTAAAAATAAAAATGAGACATTGGATCTGTTTGCTCCTGGTTGTCCGATTTTACCCCGGTTATGGGGTAAAAAGAACTGATAAAAAATTTAGGAGAAATATTAAAAACACGCATTTCTATGATTAGGAATTAACTGGAAATTTTACTGGCATAGTTTGATAATCGTTTGTTTGATCCTTGTTATGTGTTGTGATGTAGTTCATTTGATTTTGTTACTATAATTACTTGAAATCAAAATGGACCTTTGTGATCCACCCTACCCTGTATGGAAACAAGAAATTAAATTTCCAGATATATTTAATGTAAGCTTACCGTTCTCATAAATTTTGAGTACAAAGCTTTCTCGTCTTCCAACAATTTGCAAACATCTCTTTCCTTTAGTTCTTCGATAAAAGGTATACATTTGTTTATATTTGTAGCATCTTGACATCGAAGAACTGATACTTTTCCAACCCAAGATGGTTTTGTAATATTTTCCATGAATTGTATCTCTCCATTTATCACAAAACTGTTCTTATCTATCTATAATGAAATTCATTAAATTTATTAATTTGTTAATAACACCAATTCTCATTGCTACAATACAAAATATGCAAAGGATTTCTAATTAAACAAGCACAACTTTAAGTAGAAACTTTGAACATTTTTGTGTATTATTATTATTTTTCTCAATATGAATTTTTAGTTTCATAATTCATATCGAAAGTGGTATGAGGGTGGGATAGGAAAATTAATTTTTGTATGAAAATCTGTATTTAATATAGTTAAGCTAATCTAACAGCAATTATGCAAGATTAGGATCAGTAAAAAATAAAATTAACAAGCATGTAAAAATAGATTTTTAACTTCCCGTAGGGTAAGTTATTGTAATGGGCCGAAAATCGAAATTGAAAATTTTTACATCTCTCGAAGTTTTGAAGGTTTCTGAACATTTTGGCATACTTCAGAAAAAAATGGATGTGTGTGTGTGTATGTATGTATGGATACAATTTTTCGTCCACGTTTTCGGGCGCACGGATCAACCGATTTGAATGGTTCAAAAAGCATTCGATTTCTATTGATAAGTAGATGTGCTGATTAGTTTTTGGCTAAAGCAGGTCCAGCAGTTACGGAGATAAAGAGCAAAGAGTGCAGAAAATAGAAATCGAGTTTTTGAGAGAACGGAGCATCCGATTTGAATGATCTAAAATACATTCAATTAGTAATGATTGGGAGAAGTGGTTATTAGTTTTTGGCAAAGGCAGGCCCAGCCATTTCAAAGATACGGAGCTAAATGTACAAAAAATGGCAGTTTTTGAGAAAACTAAGCGTCCGATTTAATTGATTCAAAAAACTTTCTGCTTGTCTTAACGGAATAATAGATTTTGGAAATAAAAATTTTTGTTTCAACTTTTTTTTTTAATTTTTTGTATATCGAAAATAATTCAGATTTTATTGTTAATTCTGCTTATAGTTCTAATATACTATAAACAAATAATTTCAACTTTGCAATTCAGTTTATATAATTCTTATAAATATTAGACAATGTTACAATATTTCAAAACATTCAGTATTCCTCGATCATTTTGTTACGGTATGGGAAGTTCCAGCAATTTGCCTTAAGGCACGATGCCACACACCCCACTAGTTTGATACATATATTAATAAGTTACTTTGTAATAATAAGGTGCATTATAATGTAATATATACTGTTCTCGTATTTTCATCTATAATTTATGAGGCTAATAAAGAAATAAATTTTGTGTTTGTTACCTGAGTTATGCGCATATCTGGAACATTGATACTCAAATTATTTTCACCTGGACAATTTCCAACTCTTGTTACTTTGAACACGACCTCCGAATCAGATAATCTTTTGAAAAAAATAAAATTAAAACTTTACTTTAAATTTTGTTAATTTGCAAAATTTTCTAGATAAAAATAACTGTTTAAAGACTGTTATCCAGTGCTCTTCGGAAAGTATTATTTAATTACTAAATAATTCTATTTTAAAGCAAATCAATATTTTAAATTCTTTTAAATTAATGCAAATGTTTAAATAGTAAGTAAACCATATATGACACTAATCGACACGAATTTCACAAACTTTGAATTTGAAAAATATTGTTAGAGTTAATGATACAATTGAAAAAAATATAAATTTAATTTCTATTTGTTTAAATGCAATCGACTTAAAATATATTATAATTTTTATTAGACTTACTGAACATTAAGCAGTAACAGTTGAACAATGTAAATAATTTGTGGTTTACATCGAAACATTGTAAAATGAAATAAATTTAACGTATATTGATGTACTTTTATAAACCAGATTTTCATAAATCAACGTTTCCACTAACATTAAAAACACATCAAAATCCGCAAGAATAATCACATAATCATCTGTCTAAATACGGAATTTTAGCTAAACTAAATATCTTTCTTATTACTCAATGACGCAAATACAGTTTGATTTTAGTAATCAGAAATGTACCGTAACTGATTTTCTGACGAAAAGTAGAGAAATGAAATAAGTAAGCAGATATTACATATTTTATTTGTTATTGGTTAAATTATGGAAATTTGATGAATCATCTTGTTGTGGATAAATTAGTGCATAATTGGGCCATGTTTTGGTAGTTTGAGTCGCACTCGAATGACCATGATCATGTAATTCGTTCAAACAATCTCGTTGCTTCATTATATTATTTATTTCGTTTATAAACCATTTTACTATCATATGATGATTTTGATTTGAAATATTTTCAATATCATCGTTCAATATATTTTCGGGAAAATCTAGACGAATTAATCTAATTGTATAATTTGACTTAAGCTTATAATAGGGAATAATAAGTATTTTTGGAATTCATAATTCAGTTTTGGTACATATCTAAATAAACTAATGACTACTAATGACTTATATTTTTTTTCAATTTTAGATAAGGAAAAATATATCTATATGCAAAGTATTAATTATTGCCTAAAAATAATAAAAACGATATATATGCATATAATATACTATAACAATATATAACAAAACAGAATTTTTGAAAAATACATATATTTTATATTTAATCCATTTTAAGCACTGTGTTATTTATTATACAACTCATAGCCTAAAATAGACTGAAACATTTAAATTTTTTAATTAATGCAAATAATATAACTTAAGGTAGGGCGGGCACAAACGTCCTATTTGACTATGACAACTTTCATATTTTGTACATTCAAATTTCCAGCTAATTTATCCTTGTAGAATATGTTGTTTGCAGTTTTTCAAACAGTTGTGCCTTGGTTCCTTTTACCCCATGCACTGACAATGAGTAAAATGCGACGACCAGGGGACAAACACGTCCAAAGTCTTATTTCTAATTTTAGAAGGATTTTACGAAATAATAAATATATATATAACTACAATATTTAACCAGTGCAAAATATAAGTTTTATGGATACACTTTTTCAGAGATAACACTGTATATAATGTTGATCTGGTATTTTGTCAGAAATATTCAACAGCAGAGTTGGAATAACTATTTAGTTAATTTAACTTTTGTAAAATTGCTTTTTTAACTTAATTTACTTTTTTCTTTACTATTTTTTATAGTTTGCACTTCAGTGTAAATGTTTAATTGGTTCTTTTTAACTCACCCACGTTCAAGCTTTTATGTAGGTTATACAATAAAAACTGTTGAATCTAACTAAAAACTAGCTGTAAGTGGAATTCTGTCTTAAGGCAATTAGGGCATCGTGCCTTAAGGCAAATTGCTGGAACTTCCCGTACCAAAAATTATTATTTTTTTAAAAACGATTAACATTTTTGAAAAAATTTTACTTTGCAAAAATAAGATTTTTGAGAAACTATAAATTGGACAAAGAATTACTTTTTCTTGAAAAAAAAATTTTTTCAAAAAAAAAAATTCTAAAAAAAATTTTTAAATTTTTTTTTTTTTTTGAAAAAAAATGTTTTTTTAATTAACTTCCCGTAGGGCAAGTTATAGTAATCGCAAAAAAATCGAAAATGAAAATTTTTATATATCTTTACGTTTCAGAGGTTTCTGAACATTTTGGCATACCTTAGAAAAAATGGATGTATGTGTGTGTGTGTGTGTGTGTGTATGTGTGTGTGTATGTATGTATGTATGTGTGTGTATGTATGTGCGGATACAAATTTTCGTCGACGATTTCGGGAACACGCATCAACCGATTTGAAAAATTCAAAAAACATTCGATTCGTATTGATAAGGAGACGTGCTGATTAGTTTTTGGCAAAGGCAGGTCTAGCCGTTCCGAAGATACGGGGCAAAAAGTGCCAAAAACAGTACCTCCGTTTTTAAGAGAACGGAGCGTCCGATTTGAATAATTCAAAAAACATTTTACTTGTATTGACAAGATGTAGAACTGTTCAAATTTTCATGAAGGCAGGTCTAGCGGTTTCGGAGATCTAATAAAAAAAGTAAAAAAAAATGCCATTGGGCGGTTAAAAATGATCATTAGACATATGCACATCAAATTATCAGATATTTTATAGAGATTTTAACAATAAGTATAATTTTTTTTTGCATTTCTATGGGTTCCGTACCAATGCTTATGCGTTAGACCGCGGCGCGGCACTTGCGAGCTTTGACATTTCGTCTCTATGCAGTTCAAGCAGTGCGATTGCTTTGGAAAAAAGTTCAAAATTTCCAAAATATGTCAAAATGAAGAAAACATTTTTAAAAAAAAAAAATGTTTGTTTTCAAAAAACAATTTTTTTTCTCAAAAAAAATTTTTTTTTTCAAATAAAAAATTTTTTTTTAAAAAAAAGGAATTTTTTGTCAATTTTATAGTTTCTCAAAAATCTATTTTTTTTTCGAAGTAAAATTTTTTCAAAAATGTTAATCGTTTTTAAAAAAATGATAATTTTTGGTACGGGAAGTTCCAGCAATTTGCCTTAAGGCACGATGCCCTAATTGCCTTAAGACAGAATTCCACTTACAGCTAGTTTTGACATATTTTGGAAGATCTGAACTTTTTTTCAAAGCAATCGTACTGCCGCAACTGCATAGAAACAAAATATAAAGCGCGTAAGCGCCGCGTCGCTGTCTAACGGATAAACATTGGTACGGAACCCATAGGAATGTAAACAAAATTCATACTTATTGTTAAAATCTCTATAAAATATCGGATAATTTGATGTGCATATGTCTAATGATCATTTTTGACCGCGAAATGGCATTTTTTTTTACTTTTTTCGTTAGATCTCCGAAACCGCTAGACCTGCCTTCATGAAAATTTGATCAATTCTTCACCATGTCAATACAAGTAAAATGTTTTTTGAATTATTAAAATCGGACGCTCCGTTCTCTTAAAAACTGAGTTACCGTTTTCGGCACTTTTTGCCCCGTATCTTCGGAACGGCTAGACCTGCCTTCGCCAGAAACTAATCAGCACGTCTCCTTATCAATACGAATCGAATGCTTTTTGAATTATTCAAATCGGTTGATCCGTGTTCCCGAAATCGTCGACGAAAATTTGTATCCGCACATACATACACACACATA